TTTGAAAAAATTGTTATTTATATTAGCTTTAACATCTTAACCAATTACTATGAAATTTCGTATACACGTACAATATAGAATGGAGATGGTAAATAGGTTACTTTTTATCTTGGTCGGTGAGCATGTGCTCACCCGGGTATCCCAGTCACGTCGACGAAGTCGCGGGTAAAAGTTAGTATTGTCTAAAATTATATTTGTTTTATTTTAAAATAGCTATTTTAAACTTAGTATGCGAAAAATGCGGATGATGGTCGTAAATAAAACAGTAGATAGCAAGAAAAATGCACGCAACAAAGAAAATATGTGAATTTCTAGTCCCTCGTTAGAATATCTTGTGATAATTATCGTGTTAAATATTGTGACTGCTGTTTTATTTGATCGAATAATTAATTTTCCACATGAATATATATTGCTCTGTAAAATAAATAAATATGTAAATAATGAAATAAGTAATAGGTAAGTAAATAAATAAATAAATATATAAATGAATAAATAAATCATTTTAATCATGATAAAAAATATTAAGGGTCACGTACGTTGGCTCTATTTCTTAAAGAATCCACACTATATAATAATATTAATAATATTTATTACAATAATTTGTGGAAGGGCACATTTCTCTTTATAATATTTTTAAAAATTTAATGTTAAATAAAATAAATGCATTAAATGTTATGAACTTATATGTATTTCATATGAGTTTGAGATATTGCTAAAATTTAATTATCGAATCCTTCAACAATAACAATATCGAGGAAACTAATAATATGCTGTTATTTATTGGTTTTATTATTTAATTAAATTAACCAATATATCTGATATCACTCAATAACCATCAGTTTGTTTTGACAAATAATATTAGTTGTACGTACATCAACATTGTGAATATCAATATATCAGAAGTCATTGTATTCCAGTGATATAAAATATATTTAAAGAAACAAGTATGTTTTCAAATTAAGAACATAGATTGGTATTATGGTCTATGAGATGGGAATTAAAGTAATCATTTAATTGTGCCTACGGCCAGTATAACCAGGTTGAAAAGTCAAGATAACTTGGTTAAATTATCATAATTTACCTAAATGATCTTATTAATTTATATTTTTTTAAATCCATAAAAAAATACATGAATTACTTGATCCTACAAGAGAAAACTCTTAAATAAAAATAATAAAAAAAAAAAAATACAACCAAAAGTCTAAAAATTAATATAGATTTGGATGTTTCAGGAAAATTTTGCTCCGCAAAGAAAAACAATACACTATGTAATTATGTTAATTATTGAATCTAACACAGAAACAAACCTTATCGATTATATTATTGGGAAAATCAAGTTATAAATGATAAGCGACATCATTGTTAATTCTGAAGATATATATAAACAAATAAAAAAAAAAAGAATTTAGAAAATCGATTTATAAATAAAAGAGTTATGGGATAACAAATAAATAACCGAATTGAAAAAACCGCGTTTTTGAAGTCGGTTAGAAAAAACGCTCAAATGTTATTATAATCTTATTATATCTCTTTTTCATTTAAGAACTAAGTGATTACTGCCCTCAAAGAAATTGCAACCACATCTTACATTACTCGTAACTGCTGGAGACAGTGTAGCCTCATGTTTTCTAATTTAAGTTTAAAAAAGCACCCCTACATAGTCCCTTAATCCCACTATCGGTCACATCTCAGTCTCGCGGTCCCACCCTGTACCATTCAGACACAGTGTAACAAAAAATAGTAGTAACATATAAATAAAATAAATTATATCTGTAGGTTTAAGTAATGACTTCCTAGTGAAGGTTAACTTATAGGTATTGTTTTTAATTATTTTTATGTTATTTGAAAGAAATACTATTATTTACATTATAAAAAGTAGGATATTTATAACAGATGAATTCATAAAATTAATTAATTATGCTTAATTTTGTTAAACTTTATCTGCGCCTACGACTTTGTCAACGTGACAAGAATATATTGATTAACCAGGATGTAGTTCTCGATAAGCCAAATTTTATGACAAAAGGTAGAAAAAGGTAACTAATAAAATCTTAGATATTAGGGTATTTTAGAAAATACCTTAACCTATCTGAGTATGTAGTAAGGATGAATTGAACTACTATTTGTTCTATAGACTGTGGTTCTGGGGTGAATATTCGTTTAACTGACCTATAACTGAGCACGAACGGTGACGTAGCTTGCTATCACTCGTATCTAATGCAATACCACTTGCATTTCAATGCTTTATACTGTATTTTTGTCATGGAGGGTCGATGGTCGCGGAATGTTGAAGAACTAGAAAGATTGTTGATACACAGATTTCATATATGACATTTTTCGTCATGAATTTCAAGTGTAAATGAAGGAAAGTATTATATTTTGACATAGAGCGTAAACAAGAGTTCGTTGATATCAATTATGCTAGCTTGCATTACGAAATAATTGGATACAATTTTTTTTTCATTCAAATAGAATGGCAATTAATCAGGCATTCACCTGATGGAAAGTGGTAACCGTTGCCTATAGAAATGAACAGTATCATGGACATAACAGAGTACATACTGTTTCGCCCATAATATCCCCCACGCACTACTATTCCTGAGGACTAAGGTGTTATACCTCTGTACCCTGTAAATCCACTGCCATTCCCACTTTTCAAATCGAAAGATAGCCATGCAAATACAACTGCATCACAGTTGAAACCAACCATACCAAAACCTAAGTACCCAAGCAAACGACTTTTTTTACAAGGTCTGCCTCTGATAAAAGTTCAATCCTGACATATTTATTAAGGGATCAACATATCGTTATAGTCGTAGAACAGTGACGGATCTTTATATGCAATTTTCGTCAGATCCGTCAGTATTCTACGACTATGACGATATGAGTAAATCATATGTGTTGCAAAAATAACTATAAAAGTTTATTACTTCCTGTGTAGTACAAATTAAAATAATTATTTATAGTAACATTACTTTGTATTCCGAATACAATAACTCGAAAGTATCGGTAAGCACTACAAGAGCAAACAAAATGTTTTCAGTAACCACTTAAGGCAACACAGAACTTTTTCCGACGAGGAAAAACGTGGGACGAATATAAAAATGGTACTACATTCCAAAAACGTAGTAAGTACCCACGCCGGCTTTCATCCAAAAACCTTTTTGTCAACACGCATAAAAGAATTTTCCACGGGAAATCTTTTTTCCCAGGTACCGTATCTCTTATATTGTTCGGGTTTTTGTGAAACAGTAACTTCAAGTTATCTATGCTCCACATTCTTGTCATTTGTTACTTGCGCAATATATTTAGAAACGTATAAATATAGAATGGTAGCCCTTAAATTGAAATAAGTGGTCTTTTTATTTGTCCAGTTCACAATTCTATTTTCTTTTTGTTTAATAGATAAAAGTGTGAATTTATATATATAAATAGACATTAAAAACTTCTACATTCGACAAAGATTTTATTCTGTATTTATTATGAAAATTTTAAGAAGATATCTATGACTTTATTGGGATAATTTGGAATAAAAAGCGGATCTTTGATACAAATATATGATGATACAATAATTTGATGTTCATTAGTTTAAAATGATTGACCGAATTGCTTTATTTCTTATTATAGGTAAATAGAGGAAGAAAATAAGAAGAATAAACAAATATTATTATTATTAACTTATCATTATTTCATAACATACATTAAAATAAAAGATGAAATATAATTTACTTCAATTTTTGATCTCGATTATTAAAAGATTACTAGAATATTCTTAAACTACACAAGATAGAAAAATAGAAAATAGTCTTAAAAGCTTATCAACAGCACCATATATTTATCTTATTATGATCGTATAATTTTTCTACGGGAAAAAGGGAGTTCAAATGGAGTTTATAATGAGCTTATTTATTTATGTAAGTATTTTATGTTTCAGTATGAAGGAGTGATAGCATCGACGCTTGACCTCTGAATTATTCAAATGCATATTTTAATAAATTAAAAATGATTGTCACTTGCTTCATGCTTCAAAGAGCATGTAAAATATAGTAAAAATAAATAAATATACTCACGACTCTAATCCATGATTATAATCAGAGGTATTGATTGTCAACTATATTACTGTTATGGACAACATAGTTTGATAAGTCACATTTTTTCAAACATGTATGTGTTTTCCAATATCAAAAAGTTAGACGAAAATCTAAATTTATTTTATATGTTGCCTAGATTTTAACTCACAGGCATTGGTATCTAAAAGTTAGTATAATACGTGACCACATTATATAAAAAGGCTCTCAGTGAGACAGCCCTCTATTTTAGGCTGTAGCTTAGGTACAATTCTTTATCGAGCTAAATAAGAAGTCTATGTCGAAGACATCAGTCTAATGGAAATTACCAGAAAATCATCTGACATGTTATAATATAGTAATTAATCTGAACATACACAGCCTTTACCATATATAACAAAAGTCTATCCTCAGGTAATGTTTTTAAATTACCTGAAGATAGATTTTTAATACCAGAGATCTCCCACTTATACTCGTACACATTATCATCATTATCATTTCAGGCTGTATCAATCCATTGTTTTCCCCAATGCCTTCCAACATATGCAATCCTCTGCTTTTCGTACTGGGGTCCATATATTATTGATCCTTTTCATTGAAGAGTTTGTGTCCATAAGTCACTACACTGGGCCACCTGCCCAGTGTGGTGAAGAGGTTGGTATCTAAATTTTCAGAAGGATTTTTGAATGGATTTTTGAAAGTAATTTTAAAGAAAATTAAGGAAAAGGATAGGATGTCTCTATGTGGGAATACAGGATAGAATACACTTATATACGATTACCCAAAAATATTGAGTACAGTTGCTTATCTAAATGTTGAAGTATTCTTCTTAGTCTATGTATCTAAGTGATTTTTTACTAAAGAGTAAAGAAACGCCAGATTAATTTTATTAAAACTAAATAAAATTCACGTCACATTTAAATGACAGTTTTTATTAGAGTTTTTCTTAAATAAAACTAGTCTATGCTTTTACATCAATTATTGAATCGTAAACCTTTATAATATTTATAGAACTAAATTATCAATTTAAAATATAGTTTAAAATGGGAGAGCCGGAAGGTAAAAAAAGCAAAGTGTCAATGATGTTAATAAGCCAGTCTCAAAGCCGTTCAATAGCGGGTATGAAGTCGATGAGCAGAATGAAAGTAAGACGAGCATCCTTTGGATTCACTGGCGTACCTGGAATTCGGCCTGTAGAAAGGACATCACAGGTAACATTTTACTTATACGGCGTAAGTTGCTAGATTATTAATATTAAATAAAATATGTAATGTATAAGAATAAAATAAACCAATTTTTGTATATTTTAATTTCAAAACAACAATGGTAATAATCAAGCTTATGAACGCAGAGACATCGTTTGTGCGTTTTCGGCTTTTGCAATTTAGAAAGTCAATGTGACAATGTTGCCAGTGAAATTAATGAGTATAATCACATCACAGTCATTATCATCATCATTATCATATTGGCCATTAACTGTCCACTGCTGAACATAAGCCTGCCCTATAAGGGGAGCTTAGCCAGTAGTTGCCACGCCTGGTTGACGAATTGGAAACCGTAGCTAAATTTTTAGTTATGTTTTAAGAAGAACGCTGCTGCTTATCTCTCTACCATTAACTTTTTTAATTATTATAGTAGTCATTAATTTTATAGATCACCCTTTACAAAAGGCAAATATAGCAAGTAAGCTGCTTGGTGATTTGTACTTATTTAGACACACGATTTTGTAGTCTCACTTTAATGAGATTTCGTAAATACTATTGTTAATATTATTTCAGTAATATGAATATAAGGATATTTTATTTATTAAAATCGTGAAGTTAAATAATATTATCATTATTATCTACTTTAAAACACCTTGATATATGAAACGTGGTTTATTTCAGATTTCTTTCGTTTGTTAACAATTATTATTAGTTATTATTATTAGATTTATTAGTTAAAAAATTTTCAGCTTGGTATAGAATTTAAACGTCCACCACAATTATACTTAAATACCTATCAGCTGGATCCTTACGTAAAGTTCCACATACCGACTGTTAAGTTTGCTACTGATGCAATATTGGATGAATATTTCACTGAACATAAATACAATGTTCAGGTAAGGTATACTTGTCATTATTTCTTCATTTTTAAGTAATTTCTTAAAGAAGAAAGTTTTTAATACCTCTGTATTTTTATAATCATTTTACACGATCGATGATGATGTAGCACTTTTGAATGGAATTCTACGATTAATTTTTAAAATAATAAGGTTACTCAAAATATTATTTTTTTAATAATTAAAATTGCCTATTTTAAAAATGGAATGGTTACTCAACTAACCAAGGCTGGAAGAATATTCCATGTTCATTCCATAAAAAGGATATATTTATTTCTTTTACATAACTTGTAATAGTAAATTAGCTGATAGTATACTTGATAAAAGTAGTAATCAATAATAAAACACAACCATGCAAGCATTTTAGCAGAAACACGAAAATTAAGTCATTAAAAATCTTCCTGTATAATTTTATTTAAAGGAATCTCCAGCTATAGCTCTTCGGATTGCTGGTGAATTGATGCGTAGAGTTAAAACTATGCCATTTAACCGCTATCGTATCATCACTGTGGTAACAATTGGTCAGAAAAGAGCCCAGAGCTATAACAATGCTGTTTCTTTTTTGTGGGACTACGAAAGAGATAATTACGTCGACGTTCAAAGAGAAGTCGCTACAGCTTTCATTCAAGTTACTACGTTTGGGATATATCTTGATTGAAAAACATCTTGCACTGAATGATAGTCTTATGTTATTTAAATAAAAATATAATTAAAATTATTAATTAGCTAATGAAGTAATCTACGAATCAATGCAGATTATCTTGAAAGTGATGTGAATTTATGATGTAACTTTTTGCATTATCTCTTTTTTAATACTTGCCTATTGTCCAAAGTACCTAATTTATTTATTTACGAGTATTTAGTAACTTAACGATTCTTGTATAAATTAGTTGAATAAAAATATCTTGTTATTTTTCTATGTACTTTATTAATTTATTTATCTATATCTACACTTATCACTATATTTTTTTTTTTGATGGGTGAAAATGGTGTGGTAACCCCGCCTGCGCTAACGGGATACGCTGGCGGAGCACCAGTGAAGGGTGATAGATGAAAATGAAAACAATCCAGTTAGCCCATCATGACGAATTCATCAGGAATTAACCATGATAGTTTCCAGGGGGAACCGCGAGGAGTTCGACCTGGTTGGGTATATTGCTAGCAATGGGATTCTCAGTCTCCATTACTAACAATTCCTTCCCCCCCCCCCCCTTATCACTATATTATACTTGTAGTTCTAAACCATGTAAGTCCCAACATAGAATAGGCCACCCCTTCATTTCCCGTGGATATTATAAGAGGTGGCTAAGAGAACTTAATGGTCGAGGGGTAGGCAGCAGCCTCTTAAAACACCACCAAGGCTTAACTCCTAACATGCTTGTCAAGCGTCGCAACTATTAGCAATATAAGGAGGTCTATATTCAGCCGTGGGCAGTTACCGGCTGCTATGGTAATAATGATATGAAACCTAAATATAGTAACAGTATGACAGTAAAAGGAATCTAAATTAAAATGTATCAATTCTAAACTACACAGTCACAAAAATATACCACAAATTTTACAAGTATACGCTCAGTCGCACTCGGAGATTAAGCCATTCTTAATCTACACAGAATGATAAGACGAGACGTAAGCTCCATTGTATTCAGCGTTTATTATACGGATATATTAATATCTCATCTGCAAATGCTAGACTGCTTTCACAATCAGTTCGGATAAACCGGAGATTATGTTGTGCCGCCTGTATGAAAACGGTTATGTATCATTTAAAGTCAGAAGCAAAGATCAAACATTATGTATTTTGCAGTCTATAGTTAATAAAAGTTAGGTTAATTATGTAGGTTTATCGTCACATTTGTTAATGTACTTAGTTATGTATATATAATATAACAAATACTTTAATGTAAAATCATCCCGTATGATGGAAATTTACTTATTAACAATTAGTGCTCCGGCCCCGCTTCGCACGGGTAGATAGGTTTTTTTTTAAAATAATGTATAGTGTATGTTATTCGCTGATAATACAGCTTTTTATAGAATAGGTGATTTTTTTTAAATTAGGTAAGGTTTTTTTAAGTTTATTACAAACAATAAAATCTCTCCTCTTTATAGTATTAGTTAAATAAGCGAGATAGGTAAATAAATTTGTAGTTAATACAGAAAAATAGTTTAGGGTATGACAGAGCAGTCAATAAATCATACCATACTTTAAAAATTAATAATTTAAGTAGAATTATAGTTAAAACAAAATCCCTACATCAAAGTATCTTAACTTTTGCAGCTTAAGTCCGATCTTGAAACTTCTTTAGAAACTGATCTTCTTAGAGGATTTTTACACTAAAGTTATTTATTATTCACACTATCACAAAGTGACATAAACTTGTGCAAACTGTCGTTCGTTTGTCATTACGCTGGATACACATTCAATACGAACTAGGCTGACAGTGTGGGCGTCCTTTGTGATAGCGCCCACTATCCATTGGCTTTATATTCTAGATCTATGTCCGTACACGAACAAAGTTAGCGAAAATAGGATATTTATTAACTATCGATCTATGAAAAATTTTGCTCTATAAAAAGAAATCGATTTAAATCGTCATATAATTAAAGATTGTGTCCCGCAAAGAAAAATGACTTCATTTGTAACAAAACTAGTAATTTTGATCTAAAAACTAAAGAATTGAACCGGTTTTGATTAAATTTCTATTGTGATAATATCTAATGATATTATCATGAAATATCTAAAGGATTTTCCAAATCGATTAGCAACTGACAGAGTTATGAAGTAACAAACTTCAAAAATACAACCGAATTGAGAACGTCCTTTTTTTGAAGTCGGTTGAAAATTAATGTTAATTAGCTTAATGAAGAATAGACCTATTCTAGTGATATTCTTTTTATTGTTAAATAACATTTTTATTATTAAGTGTAGAGTACTAAATAAATATTTCTTTCTTTAAAAAAGAACTACAATTATAAAGGCTTACATACTTATGGACGACGAATCTTTCATTCATATTGAAGTGTCTATAATTGTATTTTGCTTGACAACAAACTTTAAGAAAATCGTGTAACGTAGTCACAAAAATATCAGACAAATTGAGATGCTCATTCTTTTAAAAGTCGTTTCATAAATAAAACGCACATTCTACGTTAAATTAATAGCGCCGTAAAAGATGTAATAAGTTTCATCACAGTTTTACATAGATTGACAAGAAACCCATTTTCTTTTAAATAACTTAGGCTTAGAAGTTTAGATGTCATCATATAGATTTAAATAAAAAAGTGCTATTGATATCTACAAGCTACGGTTACCACTTTCCATCACATGAATGTAAATTAACATTTTGTTATTTCAGTTCGCATCATAGTATATATATAATAGTGCCTATAATAGTACTCGTAGTTCTAAACTGTGTAAGTCTAGGCATAGAATAGGTCACCCCTTCCTTTCCTTTGGCTAACGTAAGAAGCGACTAAGGGAGCTTATAGCGGAGGTATTTATGAGAGAGAATCAACAGCAGCGTCTCTCTCATAAATATCACCAAAAGCCAAACTGCGGTTGCCAATCCGCCTGCCAATTGTAAGCAAAAAAGCAAAATTCCCTTATGAGGAACGCTATGTGCAGCAGTGGACAGTTAACGGCTGATACAATATACTCGTAGTATGGACATTTCCTGTCGCTCTTTCGATCTAAACTCACCCTCTATCCTTCTATGACCGTTCGATACCAATTCGTAACAGGATGTCTCTATGCTTCAAATAACCTGTCGCTACCTGTGTTTAAATGTCAGAAAATTGAATCTAGTATGTAATGTTATTTGTAATTATACCAACCGAATCTGTTAAAAGTTATACAGGGAATATTCACTCAAATGTAATACGAGCTTGGGTCTTAATTACCATGTGCCGATGAGTGTTCTCGAGTTATTTGATCGCTATGGCCTTCATAGTGATAAATTGACGACACAAATTAAGTGTTGACGTCATTATGTTTTCGACTTGGATACGATCCAAAAGAAGCACTATCAGTTCCATCTTTGGAGTAATAATATATGTCTCATCTGGAAATAGGTACCAATTCAAGGTTACATGTACTGATGTCTAGGTATATATAATTACATAAAAATATTTTTAGACTAAATTAAAAGATTAAAGTATTGAGCTATTTTGATGAAATTTGAGTCGAAGATAACTTGAATCTCATGGAAGAATATTTAATTTAATTTAATTTGACGAAGTGTGTATATTATTAATATCATAACAACGTTTATTCATAATTTTTCATGTTCCCAAAGACTAGTTCAAAATCCTTGTATGTTCCACTATTTGATATAGACATATATATATATATATATATATATATATATATATATATATATATATATATATATATATATATATATATATATATATATATGTACATATAATCCTGTATTATATATATATTCTCCAATTCTAAAACAATTTTTTTTCCCGTATTAATCTCATATAAATTTAATAAATAAAATTACTCAAGAAATTACTTGTAACACTCTCATGAGAAATCTCCATCTAAATTAAATAAATTCATAGACCAATTCCAGTATGCTATCTCAAATTCAATTTGTGGCTCTCAAACCGAAAAGCGTCGACACCACATTTCTTTAGCGACTTCAATTGAGGCAGTCTCTTTAAAATTTATACCCTCATTCACAAAAAATCTGATTTGGATATTCGTATTACGCAACAATCTTTCTTCTTATTTTCCAATTTTCAGCGATTTCAAAACGCAAAATGACTCATCTAATTATTTCTAAATATATTCCTAAATGAATGTACAATGTAATGTAGATTTATAAAATTGCCTAAGGGTCCAATAAGATAACATAGGACAGAAGCTTCTGACGACGATGTATGAGGAGAATCGAGCTTAACTAAACATCGAATAAAATATTATGTATATAAAATAAAACAAATTTATAGTACTGTAACAGTAATCATAATAATATTATGAAGTACTATAGTACTAGAAGCAAATCTATATCCATCATGTATTATTATTTATTTTGAATAAGAATAATTATTGTTATTGCAAAATAACAATATGAGTAAATTAAGAGATCTACGTAAGGATAGAGACCTACATACTTATACAATACCTATTTGTACAACAATTAGTCTATTATCCTAAGGTTGTCTTGAAAAGATTGCTCTCAGCAATAAGACCGCCATACGGTATTTATACAATTATATCGTTATATTTATTAATTGTCTTGTTCATTTCCTATATTGTATATTGCAAATAAAGTAGGTAATCTTATTCATTCATTCAATTCTAGGGCAGAAGTCTAGAAAATCTAGTTAAATACTTATATTTCTTATTAAGGCAATATTATGAAGATTAATTTACTGTTTACGATGTTATACTTACTTGCATAGTAATAAATATTTTAAGATAACTGTGTAAACCTAATATATCTTTTTAATTGTGATACCAAATTATTATATTCACTTAACAAATACATTAAAATAAATCGTTTTATATACAAAGACCATTCAAAGCCTCTCTTTAGTTACATTTTAAACATATATAACTGTGAATATTTCTAATAATCATCTTTTCTGAGTATACATTTAAAGAAATTGCTATTTATTATTATAGTCTTTAAATATATTTGTTTCAGCTTTTACCA